AGTAATAAAAATTGTAATGAAAAGGAGAACAACAAGAGAAAGAGAAACAAAACCAGGAAAAACAAGTGATGCAACAGCTCACCTCCCACCAACCAATGCCCAGCCTGTCCCTGAGCAGCGATCGCTGCCCCCTGGCCAACCCCCCCCAGTTTCTATACTGAGCATGACGTCATATGGTATGGAATAGCCCTTTGGTCAGTTTGGGTCAGCTGTCCTGGCTGTGCCCCCTCCCAGCTTCTTGTGCACCTGGCAGAGCATGGGAACCTGAAAAAGTCGTTGACTAGTGTAAGCACTGCTCAGCCACAACTAAAACATCAGTGTGTTAGCAACATCATTCTCATGCTAAATCCAAAACACAGCACTATGCCAGGAAGAAAATTAACTCTATCCCAGCTGAAACCAGGACAACAATAGAAATAGATCTTAAGGAATATGAAGATTTATTGGTATTATGGACTAGTCTGTGAAACAAGTTGCAGTAATAGATTCTGGGGCAGAATAGGTGTTGAAGTTACGTTATCCTTCCCCTCCAAAATGTGTTTCCCTGCAGTGCCAGTATAGATTATAGAGCATAGTCTGACCAAGCTGCACTGAGCCAATAAAAATCTATCATTTATTTGCTATTTGAATCTGCTTCTTTTAAAACCACTATTTTAGAACTGCAAGATCAAAATTTTAGCCTTGATTACTGTAAACCCATGCTGACCAAACCTACATTTCACTGCTTTATGAAAGTTCCTCATTCTCTGCATTACAAAAGAATGCATTTTCTTTTGTACAGTTGTTGCAAATCATTTGTGGAATAGTGGCATGGTCCGTTCGCATCAGTGAGTTAAAAGATACAGATACACATGGGGTACTAAGAGGCTCATAGGATGAGGAAAATATATTCCAGTGAGAGAAGGAAGCAATTTCAGGTCATTTTAATGTGGAAAACGTAAAAGCTTCCTCTTTCTCTCTTTTGTTTTTTAACAAGCTTTCACTCTCATTCAACAGTACATGGATTGCAGCAATCTGTCTGGCAGTCTTTTGGGGAGGTAAAACAGGAAAAAAAGCTGAAAAAAAAAGAAATGACCCTAAAGCTTAATTTCCACTTAACTGGCTTGTATTCAAAATGTGTGCAGTATGTTGGTAATTTATAACATTCTGGGTGTTCACATTGTAATATGGATACTTGAATGCATTACTTCATAAATTGCAATTCAGTTCTGTTGTTGTATAATTTAACTTTGAACCATGTGTATTTTGAGTCTTATTAAAAATAAACACAAATTAGGATTCCGTGCTTTTGTCTTTTTAAGGTGTCATGGAAAAACTTGGGCTTGGTCCAGAGGTCCTTCTAGAAGAGAATCCCAGACTCATCTATGCTAGACTTACTGGATTTGGCCAGACAGGAAAATATGCCCGGTCTGCAGGTCATGACATCAATTATTTGGCTTTATCAGGTAGGCTGTAAAATTTCCTGTCAAATAAGGTTTTTTCCCCCGCCTTGATTTAATCAAGACTCAAGAATTTATTGAAAGTTTATTTGCAGATATCTCAAATTACCTGAGATGCAGTCTGATGAAGCAGCTGAGCAGATCTGAAGTGTCTCTGTCAGTGAAAGAAAGGTTTCCTTCTCTTTCCATGTGCTTCTCCCTGCTCCTTTCTCTCCAGTCAGCTCTGGTGCTTACTTAACCCCTGTGTATCACGATACAAACTGGGCTGCCCAGAGAGGATCATGGCAGTTCTGTGATTCCCTTGGGCTAAATTAAGGTGAAACAACACCAAACAATTGATTAAACACTTTATTGATGGTAAAAAAACCCAAACCAACCTGAACTTGGAAAGTGTAATGGTAGGAAACCTGAACTAGGAAAGCGTAATGGTAGGCAACATGGGTTCTCACTGAAGTACTTACAAGAGGAAAGGAAAAAGAAGGAAGGGGGGCAGGGAGAGAGAGATATCACCACCCTTGGATTCTGCGATGTCGATGGTAAACCTGGCAATCCTCTGGTGGTGGGCACACACCTGGCTCCTCGGAGTTGTGTCTTTTATAGGCTAGTCCCTGCCTTTAGTTTCACCCCACTGAGGCTTACATGGTTCTTGTTCCACAGCGTTCATCTTCTGGCAGGCACCATTTTCGGGGGTGGTCACGAGGGGTCTTTTGGGTGGTCGTGAGCCCCTTCCCCAAAGGAACCCTGTATGACTTCTGGCCATATGTGGCGAGATGTACGGCACAGCAGAAGGCGGGACTGTGCATCCTCCGACACACCTTCCCGGCTCTGTGCCAACTGGCTTCTCACCTGTGGCTCAGTGGTGCTATGCAGACCCTAATTTGTCGCTATGCAGACCTTAATTTGTCTCCACACAATGTCTGAGACATCAACATACATTAACTCTTTCAGTCTCTCACACTCTGTAAGCTCCGTCACGTGTCAAAAACTGGCCAGGAGAAATGAGGATGGTTGTCTGCCAGGTTACTGAGATGAAGCAGTTCATTAAGGGATCCAGCAAACATAAAAAGACGGCACAAGACAGGAGGAAACACGGGCTGGACAGGCTGTTTGTTTTGGCAGCAGCAGTGAGCTGTTAGGCTGGATCAGCATGTCTTCTCAGGCGGTACAGTATTTTCCTTCCTTTGTGCTATTTTATCTGAATAAAGATTTTCTCTTTGAAGAGAGGACTTGAATTTTAATGCATTTTTGTCTTTCTTCAGGGCCTCTCTCCTAGAAAATCTATATTCTTATAATCCTGAAAGGGCTGCAGATTATTTTGCGTGTTTGTGAGCAGCTTTTTTTTGAATGAATGAAAACTAGGCAGCCTAAGCCATTTGAGCTCTCCTGCTTTTCTGCTGTAAATGTCCCTCCATTGATACTAAGTGAAAGGAAAGTAGGCTTAAAATAAAGTGGCAATGCTGTGTTTCCTTAAGGTGTTGTAGACAGTATGCTGGTTTTAAGTGTCATGTTCTACAAGTATGCAGTAACAAACAGTAACAACAGTACCCAACTCTGGTGGTAGCAGTCAGTGTGTCATGCACGGCCCCACCTACTGCTGTTCACACTGCTTCTGTCTCTGCTGCTTCTCCACTCCTGTGAGGGTGGAGAGAAAGTGGCCCAAAACTTCTTGGCTTCCCACTGGATAAAGCATTTCTTTTAGCCCCAGCAAAGAGCCAGAGCAGAGGCACCACAAATGTGGTGATCTGGTATCACCTACTATGGGGAGTCCTTGTGTTGTGGAATTAAGTTTCTTCAGGGATCGTTTCAGTCTTGTCTCATTATGTTAGCTGTCAGAGAATAAAAAAGAGTAAAGAAAGGATGCCTTGTTTGAAACGCTTTTGTCTTCACACCCAGATGATTTCAAAGTATTAAAATATTTTTATTTGTTATTAGCATAAGGAAAGAGTCAGTGCAGAAACAGTATAGTCCATCACTACCTTAGATTGTAATATTTTATGCTTACAAAATAAGTGTTTTTTTTTCCTCTGGAGCTGATTTAATCAGTAGTATTTTGGTTACTGCTATCTTCCTAAAATTAAATAATTTTGCTTGAAATTTCACAGGTCAAGTTTTTCTGTCTATTTAAAGGAAATAGGACAAGGTGTTTGGGAGGTATCATTCCTTAAAAATGAGGTCTCATATCCTGAGTATTTTCCTGATGAGCTTTGGCTTTCTTTAACTAAAAAATGGCTTGCATTAGAAACTCCACATATAAGTTAATATGTTAATCTGCTTTTGCCTGTGACGACCTTTAGACTGTTAGAAGTGAGGCTTTAGTCAGCAATGGGGCTTTACTTGCACTACAGGCTTTGGGAACTTCTTATACCATGCACTCAGTTGCTTGCACTTAGGAAGTGCATTAGACCATTAGCTAACTAAACAGTGCATCAGAATCATGCAATTTTCAGGAAATTTTGACTGTGTATGCTGCAAGTCTCAGACCTTAGGCTACAGGCATAGGAGAGATATGATCATACTGCAGTTTCTTGCTTGCCCAAGGGGAATCACTATGAGGGAACTACAAGAGGTTGTTCAGGATGGCAGAGGATTCAAAGCTCCGTCTGAGGTAAACTGGCTTAGCCTTTGCTCTATTCCCTTTCATTCCTGCGTAATTTCTGGCATAAACATAGGTTCCCTGTGTCTATGTTGCATGCAATCAGAGGTAACCTTCCTGTGTTACTCAGCCATTCCTCTTACAACCTTTTTTTCTCCAAAGATAGCTGAAGAAGGAGGCTAGTACTGAAATGCAGTTGTTGGTGTGAAAACCTTTGTTATGATTATTAATTCATGGGTTACGTGCACAGAAGACTATATGTCTGCATTTTTACTTTAGATTCAAAGAAGAAAAATTTACCAAAATTGTTTTGAGACATGTTCATAATGCCTATTGAATTCTTATGGGGGAGGTTCTATTCATGTACAAAGTAATAAAATAGAATTACTGCACACAAGTTTTTTTTGATGAAATTTTGTCACCATACAGCCAAATTATCAATGGTTTATCTGTGAGACTTTTATTAATCTATTTAATTAAATGCATCTTCACTAATATGATTTCAGATATTCTATTCTTTTGTGAATTAAAGAGTTAACTATTTGCTAAGACACAGCCGAGACAGAAAACTTGGTAGTAGTTTGCTTCATCCCTTGTTTACTTGCATAGATTGAAAAGAATGAAACCTTAGTTGTAGAAATGTAGAAATGAATGTTTATAATGAATTTTATACTTATTTTTGCTTTGTTTGCTCTACTGTCAGGTGTGCTGTCAAGGCTGGGTCGAAAAGATGAAAAACCTTATCCACCCATAAATCTTCTGGCTGATTTTGGTGGTGGAGGTGTCATGTGTGCAATGGGCATTATTACAGCCCTTTATGAACGTACCAAATCTGGCAAAGGGCAGGTCATTGATGCAAGTCTGGTAAGTTTGGTCTTGAGGAAGGTGGGGTTTCTTAGGTTTGCTTGTTTGTGTTTTTTCTTACTCTAGGTCAGTAAAAGGGAGGAAATTGGAGCTATTCATAAGGTTTAAAATTGAGAACTTGGAAAAGGGAAAGTAAGTAATCTCATAAAATGGCTGTTCCTTCACCTGAAAGCAGTTTTCACATCACTGTTGCCATAACATCCTTATGACATGGGGCACATACTGCGGCTTTCCCCCTATGCCATTCTCTATCTTTCCTTTTACAAGTTGGCCTTCTTCAAAAAATATCAGCTGTATATATTTGATGAGTAAGTTTGGTGTATGGAAATAGGGTGTATAATAAACAATTAACATAATTAATAACTGCAAAAATTATGATCCTAATAAAATAAAGAATTGCATTAGCTTTATCCAAGATACCTGCGCTTATGAATTTGTGACAGGTCATGTCTTATTAGAATCACTGTTCCCTCGAATAATTACACTGCCATGGATTATTGCCAAGAAGTCAATTTCAAACACTTTGCATTAATGTGCTGTAAAATAAATGAAAGGCTAAACTAGCTTAATAATGAATACTATGGAATTTCTCACTGCAAGGCCACTTACAGAGGAAAAATATGTATTTACATTTATCCTTGAAACCTGTGTTATCTGCAAGTGTTTTTTCTCTCTCTGTCTCTTTTTCTGTTTTTAAAGAGCGTTGCAATTAAAATTTGACCTCTCTTCGAGGTCTTGTGATACAGTGAAGGCTATGATTTGGACTCAAATATAAATTGAAAAAAAATTGTATTAATTGAAAAAAATCCTTTTGTTGAAGAGCTCTGGAAGGTAGAAGAACAGCAAGAGATGCTAGCTATCTCGACTTGAGTAAGTTTTTGACAAATTCACATGGCATTCTCAGTAGCAGGCCCTGGCATTAGGGTCTAGATGAAAGTTCTATGTGATCAGTGCAAAACTGGTCCAATGTTTTTACCCCAGTAATAGTTTTTAGTAGCTGATTGTCAAAATGAAAAACTTATCAACTGGACTTCCACAGATGTCTGTTGGGTTTTTTCAGTGTTTTCTCCAATAAGCAGGAGCAGTGATTGTCCCCCTGTGCTCTGCACTGGTGAGGCCGCACCTGGAATACTGTGTCCAGTTTTGGGCCCCTCAGTACAAGAAAGACATTGAGGTGCTGGAGCGTGTTCAGAGAAGGGCAACAAGGCTGGTGAAGGGTCTGGAGCACAGGCCTGATGAGGAGCGGCTGAGGGAATTGGGGTTGTTTAGTCTGGAGAAGAGGAGGCTGAGGGGAGACCTTATTGCTCTCTACAACTAACTGAAAGGAGGTTGTAGCGAGGTGGGTGTTGGTCTCTTCTCCCGAGTAGCAAGTGATAGGATGAGAGGAAATGACCTCAAGTTGCGCCAGGGGAGGTTTAGATTGGGTATTAGGAAAACTTAAAGAGTGGTCAAGCATTGGAAGAGGCTGCCCATAGAGGTGATGGAGTCACCATCCCTGGAAGTGTTAAAAAAATGTGTAAATGTGGCACTTTGGGACATGGTTTAGTGAGCATGGTGGTGTTCGGTTGATGGACTGATGATCTTAGAGATCCTTTCCAACCTTAATGATTCCTAGTTTTCACTTTCATTAAAAAATAATTCAGCCACCAAGCCAGGAAACATGAAATTATGACTGTACCCTTAAACTGGTTTAGTGGTGGACTTGGTAGTGCTAGGTTAGTGGTTGGACTTTATGATCTTAAAGGTCTTTTCCAACCTAAACGATTCTATGATTCTAAGCTGAGTGATGGATGAGTGATTGTGTTTAGTAAATCTACAGATGGTATGCATGTGGGAAGAGCTACAAGTACATTGGACACTTGGGTTAGAATTGAAAATGACCTTTTCAAATTGGAGAAATGACCTGGAAAAAATTGGCTGAAATTTGTGGAGACCACTGCTCTGTAGTTCTCTTAGGCAGAAACAATTAGCAGCACAAATGCAGTGTGAGAACAATTGGCCAAAGTACAATCCTGGGGGTTTGTATTAAGTCACAAGCTGAACATGAGTCAACAATATCATGCTGTTGTAAAATACACACACACTCTATTAGGATGTATAAACAGGAAATAGAGCCAGCAAAGTTTCTGAAGTAATTCTTCTAATCTGTTCGACATTTATGAGGTCTCAGGAAAATAGTGTTTCTGACGCTAGCCATCATCTTTCAAAAAAAATGACCGAATTGAGGAAGTCTGAGAAACACCACAAAAATGGTGTGAGTCTAAGAACATGACCTACAAAGGAAAATTGAAGGAGTTTGTATATTTGTGAAGCAAAAACTGTGGAGAACTGTGACAAGTCTTCAAATATTTAAAAAGATACTTCTTATAGTTTGGAGTGTTACCTTATTTTCGCTATTGGTACTTTATGTCATTAAAAGAATTTGTTATGAGAAGAATCAATGTAAGTCCGCTAATGTCCTAATGAGATCTCTGGCTCACTGGAAATGGAATGTGTTCTGGGTTTTTTTTGGTTTTAAGCCCTCAAAACTTCTCTCTTTAAATTTTTTCTTGTGTCACTATAAATGTGGAATTTACAGTTCCCTGCTGATGTTGCTGGTGTACTTTACCTGGTATTTTGTTGTGTTCCTTTCACCTTTCAGGTGAAACTTTCAGTGAGACAGTTAATGAAAAACATACATGCATGATCAACAGCAAAGACAGTTAAATAGACTGGGTTGATGAGCCTGTTTTTATATCTTAAGTTTGTTTCATGGAAGTAGATATTTTAAAATCACAATACTACAGCATTTCAGCTGACATTTCATTTTAACGTTCTTTTTTTTATTTAATTGGCCTATTACTTAAGTTGTTGTACAGTTTAGGTAGTCTGAATATGTTAACTACTCTGACACATGGTGGAATTTTCTACAGTAGAGGAGGGAAAATTAATTTGTTTTTTAGCAGCTTTGTGTCCCCAGGATTACTTCTATTAAGTTTTCATCTTACTTTATGGATTGTTTTACTGAGCACTTGTTTGTTTTTTCCTTTTATTGCAATGTCTATTTTTCCGAGGTAATCTAAAAAAATGAATTCTTTCTTGTCTTTGAGGTTAGTAATTCTAGATTGAGATCCGAATTTTTGTGATAGAAGAATTTGTTATTTATCTTTTATTTCTAATTACTATGCTTAAAGCTGAAAAATGGCTTGGGAGCATTCTTATGATCAGTAATACTTGTGGAACTCCTCTAGTTAAATTAAACTGATACAAAAGGAGGGCAGAGAGGGTTGGGCCAAGGGCTAGATTTGCATTACCTGTTCACCGTGTCCAGTGTTATTGTCAGACTGCCTAAAAAGTAGACACTGGGTCCTGTGTTTCATCTGTCTACCTTGGGAGAATTAAATGCCTGGTCTGAGCTGATTCATGTGAGTTGTTGTCTCTTGTCATTGACTCTGTAGGGATCGCAGGTATCTTGCAGTGAGCCTGATATTTCCCATGTGCTAAGTAGCATGTGGAGCGGACACCACGGTATGGTACGGTAAGCACAGTTGTAGATCTGCACTCTTGCCCTGGCATAGAGGCATAGGAATCAGGGCCACACTTGAGGTGTCACCAAACTCGGGAATAGAACTCCTTAACACTTTCTGTATTAAGAAGCAGGCATTACTTTATTCAGTGCCAGGTGGAAGGTGGAATATTTCCACAAATCAAGCACACCTCTTGAAGTTCATTTTGACATTTATACATTTCAGTTAACATACCACACCTATCTAATACATAATAATTGAACTGACTGAGCATCCTCTTCTTTCATTGGTCTGTATCTTTTCCGCTTAATTATAAAGCTACAGCACAATTTTAATTCACTGCATGTGCTCAAAAGGAATGTGGGGGGGTAGTCCCTTCATCCCTCAGTTGAGTTGGTGGTCGCAATCTCCCCATGCCAGAATTACCTTTCCCCCAGTTATCATGCTTGGGCAATCACCCAATTTCTCAGCATCTTCTGGGGCAAGATGTTCCCTTTTATCACTGCTGACCTTGCATTTGTGGCCTTCCCTTATCTTTATAGCCTTCTTTGTAGCAGGGTGTTTCCATTGTCAGTCCTTGAAGTTCTGCAGATTTGTATTCTTTTGAGGAGGTACTCGTTAGTGAGTCATGCATTGCTAATACCCTCTTATCTGGCGTACACATTATTTACTACCTTGAATATTCTAAAATTCTCATGTGTTAGTTTCCAATCCTGTGATCCTTTCTTAACTACTACTAACTCCTGCAGTATTTCCATTTCATCCAAGAAAAATATATACGTTTGAGGTAACAATTCCCCCCTTTGGAAGTTTCAAGTATTTCATTTGAGACTTCCGTAATCTTTGATCATCATTATGTTCTTGACAAACAGAGTCCACATAATTGCTTATTTCATGCATCCAAATAAAATACAGGCAATCACAATCATGATTGCAATACAGACAAAGCCTTGTAGTAAATTTTAAAGCCACCCAGTAAGGGAGAATCCAAATCCATGTAATATTTCATTCAGCCATCCCATTTCCATTCTAGCTCCCAAATCACGACTTGATTTTGCTACTTGTTCTATCTTGTCTTCGTTAATCATCAGTTCAAAAGTTAGATTTAAGTCTATGGTTAGCATTCCCCAATTCAAGGAGCTCAAGGCCAATTTTGGTAATGGAGGCATGCAGTCACACTACTACTGTTACGGATTCTTCCGAATGACTGGATAAGTTGCAAGACTAGATTTCCATAACAACATTACATTTACAGCTTTCGTTTTGTCTAAGTCAGATTAATAAACAACTTGGTTAAATTTTAATGAGCTGCTTCTTAATGTATACTGTTCCTACAGACATTGTAGTTCCTTTTATGTGAAAATCTTGGTTTCCATATTATCAGCAGAATCATAACTAAAATTATCTCTATTACAAAACAAAACAATACCCTGTATGCAGTCAAAATCTATGTCTGATGCTTCCTGATCCCAGGTACAGTTCATGAATTAACTT